TGGCATATGCTGTAGAACGATACCTCGATTCAAAGAAACTTGAAATTTCACTTGTTGCTACAGCTGTATCCAACAATTCCGGCAGGCCACACATATCTCCGCTGCCGCTTATTAGTGATCGCGTGACAAATGATACTACCAAAAATGTGGAAAAGAATGAAATACGTAAATCATGTACTATAAATAACCTTGCTTGCCTAAAATAATATTTATAAACTAAAATTTCTGTTTTAATATCTAAACTTGTATTTAATTGATGGTTTAGCAGGCTCATGTAAATACCGTTCTGATATCAATCATTTCTAACCTTCAGATATCATATATGTACATTGTATGCATATGTGACATTCACTTTCTCTATGATTGATATAGTATCAAAAACATATGTAACGTTTTAATATTCTCCACGTTTTATGTTTATATTTCACTTCTTAATCGCTAGCATTCGTGACTGGAATAACAACCACAAACTATAAATTTTACATTGAATCATATAATATAGCCATTTTATGTTTTTGCCCAATCAAAGAGTGTTAAACATATGTGTTTTTTTAACAGAAAATATATCATCATGTTGAGACACTGACAGTAAAGTAGACATGTATCGCAGCATCAACAAACGTAGATGAAACCATCACTCAAAGTTGATAAGATAAAACAAAAAATGGAGAAAGCGTCAACACAAAGACATGACAAACCCCACAGACCATTTAAATTATACCGTATACATGTGCAATAGGTGTCAGAATGACGTTAACCTGACATGTTCATCATTCAATATTTCATATCTGTACTTTCAGAAACCATTTCGGTTTTCTATCCATTTTTTACAGCTGGAAACACGCCTATTAATTGCCATCGATACTTCAAATAATTACCGCATTGATGACTGAATACTTGTTTTGTTTACATTTATTATGTAGGTCTTTCAGTTTTTTTCTGTTTTATGAAGATGAATTAAAGCAAAAAGTCAGAATTGTTATTCGGATTTTGTTTACAAGGAGAGGCAATGACAGATATCATTTTGATATTGTTATTGGAAATTTAATCTATGATCGATCTAGTTGTTTCTACAACAAGTGCTACATGTAGTGTGTGTTATACTTAATAAAGTGTTTGATGGATCTTGAGGAGGAATGGGGATAGACTGCCCTATATAAATGTCGTAAATAATGTTTACATCATAATTACCCAATTCATCATTTTCAGAATAAGATCAGGAAACGAATTCTTTATTTTTTAAAAAAACTAGCTATGGTTGTCTACCATCAGGCCTTGTTTTTGCGACTTTGTACCTTTTATAATTACCTGTTGCAACAACCATTTTTGTGACTAGATGCTGCTGTTGCTGCACCATGTGTATATAATATAAGTATATATAAGTAAATTCATTGCTGTCTCATAGCATAATGAATAATTGTATTGATCAATCAAAGCGACCTGCTTTTATGTCAGAACACGAGTCCTACATACAAAGAAGACAAAACTGTACCCACACATCAGGTTAAAGTAACAAAAATAATGCAAAAAACCGTACATGAGGTATTACGATTTTTCGACAATTAACAACAGAAAGTTGGGAGGGGAGGGGGTTTAGATTATCAACACATTACTTTAATACATAGGGCTATTCCCATTTGAACCATTGCTTAATCCGACAAAATAGACAAGTTAAAATGTGATGAAAAGGTGAAATAAACAATACTAATATATCTGGTGATACTATAACATTTTTCTATCTATTTTCACCTTTAATTGAATATCGTTACAGGTTTGCAAAAATATCTCAAACATTTATTTAATTTCATAATTCCTGCATTGTTGTTTCATTGGCACGAAAACGATTCTCGCTTTACGGACGTGGCATCACTTTGGTTGGACCTAAATTTGCATGTTTGGTCAATAAACCAGGAGATACTTACCCTTCCTGAACACCAGGTTCTGTTTACTTTTAGTTGTTTACAGCCTTCGTCATATGTGTATTTGTCATAACTCTATCGACTTTGAGGTATTCTTTTGAGTTTATTTACATGATGCAAATCTATACCAGGTAACTTTAAAATCCAGCAAAAACAATAGCGGGAGCCCAAATCACAAGGAAAACACATTTTGAGCCTCTACAAAATACTGGCGGCAATCAAATGTGTTTCTGAGAATCAAAAGATTCCTGCGCCACACATGCCATGATGCATTCGTCATTACAAGGAAAGGAAGCAAACAAAATAAACTCGAACACCCATGGTACTCATTTTCTGTTTACAAAGAACGAATATGTTTTATAAACTTATATACTTCAATCCTACAGGCCGGGGACCAAGACAAGATTACACCTACTGTTTACCCGCTGCATGTACATGTTTCGTTAGAGGCGACGAACACGCTGCATAATTTGGGATTTGCTTTTTCGCCCTCTTCTTTGGCATACAAAAGCAACCATAAATGAATATCTCTATAGTTCTCTCTTCTTCTAACTGCTTATTCGCAAAGGCGAGGAAGACAAAATATCCTGTCCCCTTACCAGGAATACCTTAGTAGTTATAAATGGTAACTGTTATTTCCATGCTAACGACTGGTTCACCCGTTGCCAGTATAATGTGACCTGGCGGAATGCTGTGCTGGGTGCCTTTTGGCATGATATTCCAGTGAGATAGCACTATTAAGTCGGCATCAGATCCGCGCTATCGCAATGAGGTAAACACACCAACATACCCTGTTTCTGGCACACATACACACATGCACGCATATGCAAGACACATCGAGGCACGTCCTTTAATGACCTTATCTGTTAATAGGACGTTAATTCCTATTAAATCAATCCAGTTACACTTACTTACGTTCTCTGCTACCCTCAAATCGAAGGCAAGCAGTGAGAGATTTAATTCGTTTAAGCTAAACAAATCTGTCTAATCAATGGGCTTATATCTATCCTTTGAAGATTACAGGTTAGCGACGTCCGACTTCAAAGTCAAAACATTTTACAGAAACATTCCCGCGTTATCAAATTAGTCTACTTGTATCAACCACAGATAGTGCGTACAAGGCTTTCAGTGTTTTCATGACATATTCCTGGGGTGAAGAGGATGTAAGTGAGCATAATCACTGGAGTATCGAGGAATGTTTATGTATTTGTTTGTTAAGTGGTTTGTGTCATCACAACATGATCCAGTTGTTCAATGGGTGATTTGTTTCACCAAACTCTAATTATTTAGTCAATATTCTCGGTCAAAACTCGTTATTTTTACATGCATCTTTTAATTAAAGGATTTGCTATCTGGTAAGTTCAAACTTAGTTAATGATTGTATTAACTGGGCCCTGGTTACGAAGAACCTATCAACAACCGATAGACACACTAAGTAACTACTTCCTATTGCCATCTCACTGAAATGTTAGAACATTGACGCGGTAGTGTGATATTCCTTCCGGCCTCATTACAGGAGTGTCTACAGAGAAACGTCTTGAAAAAGACTATGTATTAGAGATAAAAGATGACAGAGATCTGACATGTCAAAGTAGGGGAAGCAAATCAAAACCTGTCTCTTAGGTGTCCAATAAGACAAAGCCAAAACGACAGAGAACCCGAGATTAATTACCTCTCGCAATCATATAAAGGAGTACAGCAGGCACATTCTTTTCAACGTTGATTGTCCTTGTGTCGTATGCTCAGTTGAGATAATGATTGTCTCATCAATAGACATTTTAACGTCGTCGACTGGAATCAATCATATAATAGCGTAGGAGGATTGGAGGATTAGCCATGCCCTTAAATCGACTATAAATAACATTTTATGTTTGACAAGAATACTGAAAGACGATTTTGAGTCTCTGTTATCTTATACTTTATTCACTTTAAATGTCATACTTCATTCTGTATTTTTTTATTTTCAAAATAAGTTTATATAAAGGGTTGATATGTGTATGTATCAGTTATATAAACACATTCCTACTGATATGAATTGAAATTAATCAGTAGTCTAAAACTTGAAGATCGTAAATGCAGAGATTTTACGCACCTGCCCCTCTGTTTCTACAGTAGTTAAAACAATTCAGATTTCCAACAGTTTTGCCCCTAGCATTACCGATTAGCCCTAATGGACGAAACAGCTGTATGATTCAGTGTTATTCAATTTTTGGCATACTGTATATATTACCAAATTACATAGGTACATCACGTGTATATGTAACGTTCATCTGTCCAGCTTTAATCGTTATTGACCTACATATTTCCTATGTTTGACAGATAAGTTAATGGTGACCCAGTTACAGTAGCACATTAGCTGCATATACTTACTTTTCTACTGGACTGAGATTTTGTGTAAGGGTTTTGTGAATCGTTTCTTCAGTTTTGAAGTCTTCATAGTTCCTGGCGTTTTTATAATGACTTTTTCTTAGTAGACCCTATATATATATAACCATGAAGCCTTCATCAAGTCACAGAGTACACTTTTAGTGGTCACACTTAAGTATATAATACTACAGGACGAATACATTAACATAGACATGTTATTATTCAAATTCATATGTTTGTTTACGTCAATCAAACTATCCCCTCATTCTCGACCTCGTGGAGGTATTTCAGTGGTACAAATAAATAAAATGGAAAATGTTGACATCGCAGTTGATGAATAACACCACATTTTTTTTATTAACGAATATGCATATTTGGAAGAAGTGCCGTTACGAACCAGGCCTGGGTATTGTATACATCTGTTACTTGTCTGCTGTTTAGTCGTGTCTTTAAAAGATTCATTCTGAAGTAAAATTCAAGTTTTATTATTCATGGTTTGCAATAAATTTATTTCTGAATCTTCGTTATAGAACACAGTCAGCCGGGCTCACCAAATTTTGTAGATATTATACTTATATTCACCTGTAGCCAGATATAGTTTCTCAAGCGTGACTGTTTAGGCACAGCCTAGTCAAATTCGTCCAGGCGTAGCGTAAGCTCAAACTTCAACCAAGAACTAAATACGGACATATGAGCTTACGTTAGGAAACAAAATGCAGTGCAGATAGTCAGTTCCGGAGTTTTGTGTTTTCGTTGTAGAGATGGGTGATCAAAAGAAACAACCCTTCAAAGTTTTCGGCACTGGTCAAGAAAAGGAGTTTAAGGAAAATTGGAGGAATTGGATAAATCGAAAAATTTCGTCGGAAAAAAGTGACACAACAAAACCCAAATGGATTAAAATGTTAATGTCGCACAATGAGGACGAAAGTAAACGTAAAAAAAGTGAAACGGAAGAAAACCTTGAAATAGAGGAGGAATTCCAAAAACCCGAGGAAGTCGGTGCATCTAATTTTCCTATAACGCCAGCTGGACTAGAAATTGAGCAACCTGTTGTCGCAGAGATCCATCATCACACGGATCAGCCTCCAGAACCATATATACCCGAGGAGGAAGAAAACAATGACTCACTTGACAATGATTATTTTAATCTTTATTATCCTTACCCGCCAAAACATCCGAACAAAGGATCAAATGACTTTGACAACAATGCCTTTATGCCGGACGATGAGGACGTGAAATCCATTAATAACTCTATTCCAGGATCACTTATCGAAGGCAATCCTTTGAGTGACAACATCGATGATAGTAGGAGGTCATCCTGGAGTGAACAGAACTTCGAGGATAATGCACACCCGGAGAAACATCAATGGACAAAAGTGCTTGATCTGCGAATGTTGGAGCATTATGATGATGGAGATACGAAATCCAATGTGGAGTCTTCGACACCAAATAATAAAAACTGGACCAAACAGTTGGAATTAAAGGATGTTGTCTCAGCGTTAGCACAGGACCAGGAGTTCGATTTCGATGATGGAAAGGAATATCCACCTTTCGGAAACAAGAACGATTCGTTCAATAAGGATTTTTTCAAGGTTGGTACATGTAGATACAGATCAATTAAAATCTGTCTATAAACGTGTTAAATGTTCATCAAATAAGATTATCTAAAATTCTCTCATTTTCAAGAGAAACATAGATTACCTCAGTAAATATCATTTCCATAACTTTATAGAATATAAGGGTATAGATCCGTTATTTTTTGTATTTCATAGTATTGATGAAGTAATTGAAGTAATTGAAGAGATATTATCAGAGCTATAATTATAATCGATTATCTAACGCAGTTATGTTTTTTCACGTATTCATATATTTATTCAAAATTTTAGATACGAATCAATTAAAATCATCATAATTTTGTTGTTAAATAATAGTATTATTATTACTAAAATCACTACGTATCATCACTTGAAAATGAAATATTAAAACTTAAATTTTTATGAATAATTCCTAGTGTCAGTTGCCAGTTGTAAACTGAAAACCCTGTGACATTTCACACCTGAAAATACATAATTTAGATTATATTAGGTGCTTGCAATAAACAAATTATTCTATTGCTTAAAACAGGTCTAACGGATTAATTGAGCTACACAAAATATACCATGTCAAAAAAACCATTTGAATGTCTCCTGTGTGACCATAAACACCAAACGAAAGACCCCCACTTACAAATAAGTCTTATAATTGTTTATAATGTGTCGCGTTGTGTAATACAATGTCACCATTAATGGCGTTTTAATTGTATTTATATATGCTAGTTATTACCACTTGATTTCCTTAAATGCTTTACCAGTGTACCATCGTAAAATTAATGTCATTGTACGCACGTTGGACAGGTCACTGCTATAGAGTAGTGTAGCAATCAAATCAACGCAATCGTGATTACTGTAAGATAACATTTTAAGTTACATTTCATTGTAATCTGTTCAAAAGCCCAATGATATTAATTTACGAGCTTTTCTCAAATAGATATATCATTTGCATCATCTACTACAAAGGGAGAAATACATTAACATATTTGGTTCGTCACAGCTCAGTCGAACATTTCTTATGATGAACTAGATGAATGATTTTTTTTTTTTATTTAAGATGAGTTTTATCATTTTGCTAACTTTAAGTTCAATTAGTCACGAAGCTGCATATTAATCAAACACGTATTACTTTAAATACGCATATATTACTTTGAAATTTACATTTTCATGGCATTGCCACTGTATAGTCTATTTGGAAGCTGTGTCGTTGATGGGACTTTAAATACCATGCTCCACGAGACATAGTGCTTAGCAAAAACAACACCGACCTGAAGGCATATTTGTATTTCAAACATTTGTAACGAACCCCTATGCTCTGTCGCAAGATCACACGCTTCAAACGCTATCAGTATCATGCGTCTATCAGTCACGGTTTCCTCAGTTTCTGACAACATGTTAAATAACGAGGTTGTTTTAGAATCTGCCGACTGTAGTCAGGTTCCCATACAATCAACAAACTAATTCACGCCTGGATTCTTCACAAATTCGAATTTTTCTCTCTGCTCATTCAATTTCCAACAATAACTCCCTCGCGGAGGGCAAGGTCAGATTAGGCTGTTCACTGTATTTATCCTAACCATATAGACATATCATACGCAATTGTATTGTGTTTGTTAACATTTCAAAGTACTTCTTTGTTTGCCAATCAGCACGTGACAACACGCTGTTACAACTATTGAACAAATTGGTGTGGACTGTCGATAAGGCGGGAATGTTAAATTTTAAATATATCTTTTAAGTTAAGAACGAACATAAAAGGCAGAGAAAACGAAAATATAAGTATTAAACTGTTTTTGTAGGGTATGTATGATGTTTGCTTGCAACGCTGTGTCATTCAAATAGATCATGAATACCATACAAAAATAGTTCAATGCTTAAATAGATCTTATTGATATTACTTCATGCATATTATAAATAAATAACAACCCTATTGCTAATAATATTGATATTTGTGTCTTGTAAACATGCAAGGTTCTTCTTCGTATTCTTTTTCTTCTTCTTTTACTGCTACTTATTATACTCCTTCTGCCACTACTACTTCTTCTTCTACTATTACTACTTTTTATATAGCTACTAATACTACTACTACTTTTACTTCTGTTACTTCTACTACTACTACTTTTACGACTACCACCAAAATCTTCTTCGTCTTCTTCTTTTTGGTATAATTCGAATAAGTGTTCCTTCGCAACGGTACATGTTGATTAATGTTTGGAAACTCATATCATAATCGATTATATGTTTGTTTGTTTTTTGGGGGTTTTTTTTTTCAAATATTTTATTTCCCCCCGCCAAATATTATATTCATATATAATACTGATAAGTTTATACAGATATATATAAATAAATTGATACGAACTGCCAGGGTTGGGGAGCCCTGGAGTCAGTCCCCTAAACAATATGGTGTCCTCACACAGGAGAGCTCTCATTCATTTTTCTCTGTTAATTTTATCTAAATTCAAATATTTCGATTTCATAACATTTTTTCATCAATATAACATTCAGAAATTTGATTGGGAAATAAAACATTTGTACATTTCACACACAGCACACACATCCAGACGTGTTTACATATACATCAGTATCATAATCACTAAAGATAAACAAAACACTTATACACACACATATACATACGTACATAACATACACTCCTACGACCTACAAACGTACATACATACATGCATACACATGCACGTACATACACACTAACATCAGCAAGTCTGCATGCACTAACATACGTACACATGCATGTAAATATAAACATACATGCCCATTATTGCATGTATCCATATAAGCACCAGAAAACATGCACTCTACTGACCCGTATTGTATTTGATTTTGGAGAGAGAAATATCAATCAACAAAAAGACAAATTGTAGTAAACAAAAGAATCCCAAATAAATCCTTCCATTCCATCCATCTTTGATCAAATGTTTCATTGTATAATTTTTTTTACTGATAAAGCTTTCTCAATATTATATCTGAATGCAAGAAACTCATTCAAACCATTTAAACTTAACTTCTGGGGTTTTTCTGGAAACAGTATATATATAATAGTTTGTATACAAAATAATATAGTTAATGGGCATAGGAGCATTTTCAGTAATTCCAAAAAGTATTGTTTCCAACTTAAAATCAATGATTTTCCTTATTCTGATTAATAATCTCTCTTTTAAATCTTGCCATAGCTTTAAGGACTGTGGACATTCCCAGAAAAGATGTTCTGTAGTTTCTATTTGTATTTTACACATATTACAGATATTGTCATTTGACATCCCAATAGTATTTAACTAGTTTTTAATTGGTAGGATACAATTTTGTAATCTGTATTGAAACCATTGCAGTGTTGTGTTTTTTGTAGCTTTAAAGACAATACTATATGAACTTTTCCAATCTATATTTCTGAAAATTCTTTCAATAACCATTTTCTTTCAGCTGTATTTACTAATTTAATTTTACTATTTAATATGTCATTCATGTCTTTACAACCTTTTTTTTCTTTATGATAATATAAATATGACTTGGTATGAAGGGCCTCTCCAAAGTTGTTTCAGCAGTTAAGTTATCATTTAATTGTTTACAACATTGCCTAATAGACTGGCATATACTATGATAAATCAAGAAATTTCTAGTTTCTATAGTTTATATTGTATTCCAGTTTAAAATTTATAATAGTTAAAAAAACATTGTTTTGCTCTAATAGATCACGAACATTTTTAACACCCCGATCAAACCATTTTCGGACAACAAAATATGTTTGCCCATACCAAAAAGTAGGTTATACCAGATTGGGAGTTAAGAACTGCTTAATAGATTTTATTTGTGTTATTTCTGAAACATTTACCGATGCCTATTTGTTCGTTGTAAACAACATTCGGCTTTATGTTTTCACACTTGATGACCTCGACATACTTACTCGTCGTGAACATGTTAATTATTATAATACTACGGGCTAATTATGTATTCTTTTTTTGTATACGACTGAGTCATAATCGCCTGTTTCCGTGTTAGAATGTTTGATTTCGTTTCTTGAAAAGATGTTCTTAAAAATTTGAATGGAAGCTTAATAAGTATCCATTCTCAGCTGAATGCAGAATTTATCAATATATATATCTATAAAATAAATGCCTGTTTGATAATAAAAATAAAATTTGCAGTCAAATTAGTCTATGAATAAACGTAAGTCCTGTTAAAGTGAAATCGAAAAAATTAGAACGAATCCAACAAAATACTGTTGGCGAAAAAAACCCGGAGTTTCCAACAACATTGATTTCTTTCACTACATGTGGAACTCATCTTCCAGTTACTGTTTGATGTATTATCATAGCAGTATACTCCCCTTCCATCAAGAGTTTGATATATCACGTGCAATCGGTTTTTCTCGTCTTAGGGCAACACCTAACCAAGTAAAATGCCCCGATGAACGTTCATTTAATATTCAGATGTCCGTTTTATAAATAAATAAACATGTGCCAGCTTTCAAGAACCTTAACTACTGAAGATGTCATACTGTTAAGTTTGATTATATATTTGCTAGACACCATTCCTTATATTGTCTTGCCATATCGAACACAGGAGTATTTTAAAGAGTAATGGCGGGCATTATTTTAGCGATTTGGATCAGAGTGCCATGACTACAATTAGCTGTGTGTTTCTAATAACAAATATACTACCTGACAGCGACGCGCATATCTAGTGGGTACTCCCTGTAGGAGATTAGTAGACTCTAGAAGCTTACCTAAAATATAAAGTTACAGAGCTGTTTTTGCGTTTGAACTATTCGAATATTACAATAAATTATAGAAGTATCTTTACATTCAAACCACAGAATTCATAAGATTTGATCATCTCCTATTTTCTGACAATAGAAATTAAGAAGCAGACAAAGTTTTCAAAAGAAAGCTTATATGAGCAGTTCATTAGCATTTCATGTCCTTTCATGAATGGAATAATTTTGAATTAGTCTAAATAAATTATGAATGTATTAAAATGCTTTCACACTT